TTCTCCGAAGGCGGCGGGGCTTCTCAGAAGCCCTCTGGCCTTCCGAAAGATGCTCTGTGTCTTCGGGTTCAGAGAACTCCTCAGATGGCCAGGGGGCTCCCGAGCCCTCTGAGGAGGCCTTCTCCGTTCTCCCTTACCCCTCTCGCTCGCCGCCGATCCTCGAGTACCGCATCATTCTGCGTGGCCGTGTTGTACTGTCCGGGGCCCGCCGACTTCATCGCCTTCTTCTCGGCCATGCGGGGCTCGCTCCCGAACGCCCACTTCGGGGGCGACAGACTGCGGACGTCGTTGGGGACGTAGGCGCCGGGCCCCGGGACCTTGGCCGCGCTGCCCACGGTGGCGGCGCCGCCCATCTTGCTGGCGCCCAGTATCGAATACGAGGCTGACCTCACGGTGCGATCGAAGCGGATACAGGTGGCAAGACGATGAGAAATACGGTTATGAGAGATCATGAAAGAAGAGATTGTATTTTGTATAAAAAGAACCGTCGTCGGTCTTTGAAACTCCCGACATGCCCAAGAGTTTCTGTGGGTCCCTGGGGCCGCCGGGGGATAAGGAATGTGCGTGGGGCACCTGCCAGTCGGCTGATTCGTATGTGAAGTGCCCACTGTGCAGAAAGCAAGGGGGGGCGAAGACCGACAGCAATCCCTGCGTTCCGTGCCCAGTTGTTGTGTTGAACACCCACTCCAAGACATCCGACAGTGTTGCTCTTCAAATGTGCGGCCTCAAGACGTTCGAGAGAACGCGTTTCACGGGCGCTCGCCTGGGGAACATTCGGCGGCGCGTTTCGAAACGAGGGGCGGACCCCCCCCAACCACTCGGCGCCGTCGATCAAAACCAAGGGGACCCCCCTCCCCCCCAAACCACCCCCCTCCCGAACCCCCCCCGCCCCCCCAAAGGAGGGTGGGGTCCCCCCCCCCCCCCCCACCCCCCCTCGGCGCCGGCGCCGGCGCTGGCGGCAGCAGCGCCCACGGCGGGGACGCAGCGACGATGACCAGAGGCAGCCCAAGGGTGGGGGGGGAGGTTCAAACCCCTCCCCCTCGCGCCGGCGCCGGCGCTGGCGGCGGCCAGCACCGCCGGCGCTGGCACTGGCGACGGCGGGGACGCAGCGACACTTATCACACTACCACCACCACCACCACTACCACCACCACCACCGCCTCAACCCACCACCACCACCACCACCAACAGCACCACACAACCAACACCACCACCAAAGCCACCACCGCCACCACCACTACAACCGCCACCACAACTCACCATCACCACCACCACCACCACCACAAAAACCCAAAAACCCAACACCACGACCACCACCACCACCACAATCTACCACACAACCACCACCACCGTCACAACCACCGCCACTACCAGCAGCACAACCCACCATCACCACCACAAACCACCACATCACCATCACCACCACCACCAGCACCACCACAAACCACCGTCGTCCTCGTCGACGCTCCCCGCCACCGCCGCCCGCCGCCGCAGGCGCCGGCGGCGGCCCAGAGGAGGGAAGGGGTGGGGTGGAGTTCGAACCCCCCCTCTCCATGCCAGGGGGGGGGTCTGGTTTCAACCCCCCCCCCCTCCAAGCGACCACAGAACGCGCTCTTTCAGACGTCCCGACTCCTTCCCCAGGGGTGATGTCCCATCCCGGATGCGATTAGAGGCCGAAACCGAGAAAAGGCACTGGGACAATACCAAATCATGTCGCCGACTGGAGATCTGGAATCTGCTGTTGGGCATCGTGCCCATCTTCATCCGTACAGCCCGACCTATACACAAGAACATCCTTCAAGAACACGACCCTCCGCCGGCCGTAACACAGACACACACACACACACAACAAAAAAGCACCCGAGGGGACCCTTCCCCAGGATGCACCAGAACATCCAAGAAACACGAAGAGCATCAAGGCACCCTCCCCGAACCGACCTCGATCTTACACCTCGGTCCGACCGTACGCAAAGCGTCTGGGGCAGCGCGACCGAGGGGACAGCTGCGGATCTCTCCGAGGCCTCCAGCGACCTACAGGGGCCTCCAGAGACCTCGGGGGACCTCCGGATGAGCCGGGCCTCCGGCGACCCCAGGCGAACAACAATTCGACTGGCGTTCTTCGTCATGCCTCGGCCCGACTGTACCGTTTTCGGGCGCGCCGAGCCTCGAGAACTTGTCCCTGTCTACGCCCACGACGTTGTACGTGCCGGGGGAGGGGCTGGGCTTCGTCCGCTCCGGCCCGAGGCCGCTGTGCGAGAAGGAGAACTTGGGCGCGGCCTTGTGCACGGACAGGCAGTTCTGGGAGACCATGGGCGCCGACCTGGGGGGGGGGGGGGCGCCCGCGGCGCCGAGGCTCGGCGAGCCCGGGGGCGTCAAGGCACTGTGCCCAGGGCGGGGAGATTGGGGGAACAGAATGAAAAAAAACAAAAAAAAAAAAAAAAAAAAAAAAAAAAAAAAAAGGCGTCGGTCCGGGAAGTAGGAGGTGAAGGCCGACATTGCTTGATGTGTGCGAGGACGGCCTGCGCTTTGTGGCCATACGAGGGTCGGGCGCTGGACAGACATGAGGCCACGTGTGTGCCGCATAGACCACACCCTACAGGTGGTAAGGACGTTAAGGGGTGATGGGGTGGTGGAAGAGGTGTGCGCGGTTCGACGACGGCGACGACGCCAACGTCGTCGTCGTCGCCGTCGACGAACCCATGGTGGTCGCCGATTCGTCGACGAGCGGTCGTGGTCGTCGGGGCCTGTCGAGGCCATGGAGGTGGTCTGGGACGCTGATTGCCAGAGAAGCCTTAGGGCCCTTGGGGCACCCACGGACGGGCCAGAGAGGGCTTCGGAGACCCCAAGGGCCTTGCAAATTCTATCAAATGGCCGTCGGCCCATCCCGCCACCGAGCCGAGGTTGTGGGTATAAGGCCTCTTGGATGTTCGGTGGGATCCCTTGGGAGGCTTTTCGGGGGTCTCTTTGAAGCAGTTTGGAAGCCTCTTGGGGGTGTTTTGGGCCCTCTTGGAGCGTCTTGTGGGCCTCCTGGGAACGTCTTGGGGTGTCTTGGAGGCCTCTTGGGGGCCCTCTTGGGGGCCTCTTGGGGCCTCTGGGGAACCTCTTGGGCTTCTTGGGGGTCGCTTGGGGTGGAAGGCTAGAATTGTCGGTCTGGGCTCCCCTTCTCGGACCCTTTTGGGAGCCTCTGGCCCCGTTTTTGGGCGGGCTTGGAGGCCGCTTGAACCGTCTGCCACTCCGTGATGGCCGACAAGTCGCATATGCTAACAATCTAGGTTTTCCTGTACGAGTTTGACGATATTGGCCTCTTGGGGTGGGACGTCTTGGAGGCCTCTTGGGCCGTCTTGGAGCCATCTTGGGAGTCTTGGAACGATGTTTGGGCATCTCGGGGCCCGCGTGGACCGTCTTCGGCGCCTCTTGGAGCCTTCTTGGTCTGTTTTGGGGTCCCTGACGACGGCCCAGGAGAGCCTCGGGGACCCCCAGGGCCTTCCAGATTCTATATAAAGGGGGGGCCATCCCTGTCGGTTTCCTGGTGTGAGACACTTACCTTCTCTTACCGACTTTCCAAGGTTGCCCTTGCATCCTTCCCCTGCGGCCCATCCTTAGCCGCTTTCGCTGGCCGCGCCCCTCGAAAGGTGTTGGCATGGCCTTCCAAAGGCCCTTGCCTCCTTTGGCGGCGCGAAGAGGGGGGCATGGGGGAGGTGGGAAGGCTTCTTGGAAGGAGGCCGCTTCTTAGAAGGCGCCGGCCTCACATCTACAGATCAAGCCCGCACCTTCTGAGAAGCAGGGGTGCTTCCAAGCAGCCTTCCCCCGACCAAGACTTCGCGGCGCATCCAGCGGTTGGGCATCCCATGAGGCCCCAAAGAGCGGAACAAAAACCAGAGAAGGGTAGCGGTAGGGTACCTTTTCCTCCCCTGAGCTTCCCGGCATCGACCCCCCCCCTCCGATCTGCACAGGACCTCCGACGCCCCGGCGAGAGATGCGGGCCGCGGTCCCCGTCCTGGGCCCCCCCGACCCCAGTCCCTGACAGGCCCCGCGGGCCCGAAAGCGGCCCCATGGACGCCCCAAATGGCAGGAAGAAGACGCAGAAGCCAAAGACAAAGCGTCGCCGTCGTCGTCGTCGTCGGCGGCGGCGGCGTCTTCGTCGTCGTCGTCGTCGGCGGCGGCGGCGGCGTCGTCGTCTTCGTCGTCGTCGTCGGCGGCGTCGTCGTCGATCTCGTCGTCGTCGGCCTCGACTTTCTCTGCGGCGCCGAAAAGGGTGCCTGAGGGCAGCAGCCCTCCACCCCGGGCGCGCCTGCGCTCGCGATCGGATGGAGACCTCCCCCCCCCCCCCGGGAGGCCGCCGCAGCAGGGCTTGGAGGGTCGCACCGCACCGCCGATGCCGGGGAAGCCAAAAGGCACCGATGGCCTCCCCCGGGGTGCGATCTGACCAGGATTTCGAGGCGAATCCAGCGGTGCCGACGAGGGCCTCCCAGGAGGCCGGAAACGGCGAGAACGAGGCAAGGGTAGCAGTGTAGGTGCCTTGTCCTCCTCCGGGATGCAACGGCGACGGCACGGGATGGAGAGTATCTGGGCTCAGGCTGTGCCGCATTGCCGATGCGTCGGCGATGCGGTGCGGCGCGACCCTCCGCACCCAGGACCCACCCACATCCACTGCTTGGAGGACGTGCCCCTGAGGCTCTCGGGCGGCGCCGGATACTCTATGTATGCCTCCCCGCCCCCTCGCAGACGAGGCCTCTCCTGCAGCGGTCCATTCTCGAGACCTCCGACGCCTCGTGATTCTCAACGCCCCGCTAATGCAGGCCCAAGACGGCCCAAGAGGCCCCCAGGGGTTAGGATCCGAGCTGGCCTGTGAGCCGCCTGACGCAGCAGCTTCCCGAGGCGTGACTGCGCTTCAACAGAGCAACGCCGCAGCGTGAGACGGAGGAGCGTAAGGCGGCCGACAACTCGCACACGTCCGCGCGCAGAACATTCGAATGAGCCTTGGCACGAAGAGGGGAGTGGCAAAACGAAGAGAGAGAGAGGGAGGGGAGGAAGGGAGGAGGAAGAGGACGAAGACGAAGGGGGAAACGACCGCTGCGCACAGCCCTCTCTGGGCGTCTCGACCCCTCCCTGCGGCCAGCGTCTCATCCCGGGTCGTCTGTTGCGGACAGCCGCGGGGCCCGAAGGAGAGGGGCCCCAGAGGCCGAAGCCTGGAGAGAGCCGCCGGCACTGGAAAAACTGCCGGCGTGGGGGGGCCCCAAGGCCACGCCAGCGGCGCTGCTGGCTCACGGCGATGTCGGGAACCTAGCCTTCCCGGATAGCTCCTTCTCCTGCTCCTCCTGCTCCTCCTGCTCCTCCTGCTCCTCCTGCTTCACCTCCTCCTCCCCCTCCTCCTCCTCCTCCTCCCCCTCCTCCTCCTCCTCCTCCTCCTCCTCCTCCTCCTCCTCCTCCTCCTCCTCCTCCTCCTCCTCCTCCTCCCCCTCCTCCCCCTCCTCCTCGCCCCTTTCCTCGCCCCCTCCCCGGGTGGCTTTAGACTCAGAAGCGGGCACCGCAGGGCAGCCCCCCCGGAACTCGTGCCGGCTGCTGGCAGGACACCTCGGCGCGACTCTTGCCTGAAGTTGCCGCGTGCTCCGGCAGGCCTTTCTAAGCATTTTCCCAATACGCCTGCCCAGAAGCTCTCCAGAAGAGAGATGAAGAGAGAGAGAGAGAGAGAGAGAGAGACAGCCCATAGAGGTGTCAGGAGCGCTCCTACACCTCCTGCCCTGCGCCGGGCTGTGGAAAACATTATGTCGTCATCAGGCGTCTGTCCACCGTGTGTGCTGTCCGCCTTGCTTTCTCGCAGCCGGCATCCTATGCCACGGCGCCCAGTTGAGCGCCCTTCCACTCCAACGGCTCTCCAGAAGCTCCTTCGGAAGCTCCTTTCGTGAGCTTCTCGCGCCGCTTCGAGAGGCCTCTGCACGCCCTTCTGGTGCCCTGCTATCCGGGCTTGGGGCCCCACGAGTCTGCGACGCCGAACTCGCGCAGCACAAGCTGCAGCAGAGCACGAGCACACCTTTCCATCAAGTGGGTTGGCCACGAGGCACCCCCACCTACAAGACCGACACCTACGCTTGCGGTTGCCTACATCGCCGTGGCAGCGTGCCTACGGGGCTTGGGGTCTGGGCGACCCGGAACGCAGTCACAGTGCTACCATGAGGATCGGGGGCGCGTTTGGCGCGCGGTCGCCACATCCATGGATCGGTGCAGGGACCCTCCCCGACATGCAGCCGGTTCCGCCTCGCTCGGCGGCGGAAATCCGCGACTTCCGATGGAAATGGGGTCCGTCGCCGATCCACGCCCCCCTTGATCCATGTCTGCGATCGCCAGAGAATGAGCCCAGACGAGCACGCCGACTCCGAGCACCACCCGAGAAACACCCGAGATGACCATCCGAAGTCTGGCCAAGCGCCTCGGAATCCTCCGAAAGGGCTTCGATGGCACCTCCAGCCGAGGAGGTGCTTCTCGTAGACGGCGGCGACGACGACGATGATGACGACGATGATGATCATGAGGACGATGAGGAGGAGGAGGAGGAGGAGGAGGAGGAGGAGGAGGAGGAGAGGAGGAGGAGGAGGAGGAGGAGGAGAGGAGGAGGGAGGGAGGGGGGAGGGGAGGAGGAGGAGGAGGAGGAGGAGGAGGAGGAGGGAGTGAGGAGGAGGAGGAGGAGGAGAGGAGGAGGAGGAGGAGGAGGAGGAGGAGGAGGAGAGGAGAGAGGAGGAGGAGGAGGAGGAGGAGGAGAGGAGGAGGAGGAAAAGGAGGGGGGGGGAGGAGGAGGGGAGGAGGAGGAGGACGGGAAGAGGAGGAGGAGGAGGAGGAGGAGGCGGAGGAGGAGGGGGAGGAGGAGGAGGAGGAGGAGGAGGAGGAGGAGGAGGAGGAGGAGAGGAGGAGGAGGAGGAGGGAGGGGAGGAGGAGGAGGAGGAGGAGGAGGAGGAGGAGGACGAGGAAGAGGAGGAGGAGGAGGAGGAGGAGGAGGAGGAGGAGGAGGAGGAGGAGGGAAGAGGAGGAGGAGGGGAGGAGGAGGAGGAGGAGGAGGCGGAGGAGGAGGAGGAGGAGGGGGAGGAGGAGGAGGAGGAGGAGAGGAGGAGGAGGAGGAGGAGGGGGAGGAGGGAGCCAAGGCGCGGGCCGGCGAGGAGCGCCAGAGGAGGAGCGGGAAGGCGTCTCTGGCCGCGCGCGGGGGCCGCGGCCGCGGGCCGGCCCCCCCCCCCCGACCCAAGGGCCTCTCGGGCACGGCCCGCGAATACCCGGGCCCCTCCCGGGCCCAGAGCGGCCCCAGGGCCTCGACTGCAGAATGAAGTCGGGCGCGTCCCCCCTACAGGGGGGGGTAGGGGCGATGTGTTAACAAAAAATGCCCCCCCCCAAAAAAAAATGCAAAAAAGAACGGACTATTCAAAAAGAAACGAAAATATCAAGCAAATCGTCCCCGGACTATGTTTGGACTATCTTGGAAGACTCCTCCCGTATACAGACAGGCCCGACTTAGACCCAGACCTCGGGAACGGCCCGGAAACCCGAGCCCCTCTCGGGCCCAAAAGCGGTCACGAGGCCTCGGCTGTAGAAGGGGGCAAGCAGTGCACGAACAGGAGCATTCGGAGGCCCGCGCCGACTTCTTGGGTCGGCTTCTCGGGCTGGGCGAAAGGGGGGATAGCAAAGGGAGGGCTTGAGAATCAGCTCACGTAGCTGATTCTCCCGGCGCCTCCCGGCGCCGGGAGGCGCCCATGTATCGAGGAATAGGCCTGGCGGCGGAGCCGAAACCAGCTGCATGCAGCAGATTTCGTAACCCCCCCTTTCCCTATCCCCCCCTTTCGTTCGGCCCGATATGAGGGGCAGCGTTCGGGGGCACCGGCTCCGGGGGGAAACCTCAAACAGGAATCGGCGATACACCGCCGATAGGTCGGCGAGATTCTCCCGATAAGACATCGGCACGGTCCAGAGCCGGCGGGCTATCGGACCCCTGATCGGCCATGAATGGGCGATTGGGGGTTGATGCGTCCTCCCCTGAGCGAATCCCCCCTGAAGTTGCCCCTGATTCGAAAGAATGACTCGGGGGCGTCCAAGCGGGGGGGCGTCCAGGAGGGAGGGTCGCAAATCATGGCCAGAGGGAGGTGCGCGGATGAGGGGGGTCCCAGGGGACGTGTCAAAGAAAAGAGGAGGGGGCCACGCATCACGCCCAGCCACGACATCCACATACCCGGATAAAAAAGACATCACGCATACAAAAGAGGGCGGGGCGACATCGTGACCACAGCCACGAGATCCACACACACACACACACACACACACACGCACGCACAGTGCTGTGCCACGGCCTCGCGCGCAGCGACGAGGCGGAGAGAGCCGAGCCAGCAGCGCGGCGGCGGGCGCGCGCGGCCGGGCCCACAGACGCAGGACCCCATCGGGCCGAGCACGCACTCTCGCAGACACGCACACAGAGGCACACAGAGACACAGACACGCACGGACGCAGCTCTGGCCATCACGCCCTTTGCTGAGCAGGGGCCGACCGTCCCGGCATTCCTGTAGTCCTACCACGAAATGTTCTTAGAGCCCAAAAATGTTCTAAGAACAAAAGCAGTGTTCTCATAACAAAAACCCGATGTGTTTAGACAAGACAGACCTAGCCAGAAACGTTCTGATAACATTTCGTGGGAACAACACAAGGTTCTTAGAACACTATTAAGGCTATAAGCGAGCCAGGACGCTTCGCCACTGCTTGACTTTGGCCGCCACCGATCGACAGAAGTCCCCCCCGTGACCGGTGGGTCACCGGCAGCGCGCCGGCCGCTGCGGGGGCGGCGGCGGCGGCGGCAGGCGCGCGCGGCAAATCGCGGGCCGGCCCTGCCCTCCGCGCAGCTGGAGCCGGAGCGGTCGTGGAGGGTGGCGGTCTCGTGCCGCTCTCCGGGCGGCAGGCGGCGGGCACAGGGGGGAGAGCGGCAGGCAGGGGGCAGGGTGCTGCTTCGCCCGAACAATAGCCGCATGCACATGCTTCGATGCTGTCCCCGCTGGCCCGCGCGCGTGCCGTGCGCATCGCGAGCCAAGTGGTGAGGGGTGGTGGGGCAGATCCAGGGCAGGGGGCGGTGCGTGGCGAGCTGCAGGCTGGAAGCGGGGAAGAAGGCGTACACCTGGTGGCGGGCTGCAGGCTGCAAGTGGCAGGGTGTTTGGTGGTATGCAGTAGGTCGCAGATGAGAGCTAGTGAACAGCAGGTCGAAAGTAGCACGTGGTAGATATGAAGTGGAAGGCTGGTGCGTGGTAGGCAGTAGGTGGCAGGCAGTAGGAGGCAGAAGGCGCAGCCACAGGACAGCGAAGCGAGTCCAGCAATCGAGACCTTGCTGCACGATGATGCCTGAATCACTGTGCGAGTCTAGGCTCAGCAGCCGGCTATGGCAAAATCACGGCAGGAGACAGCAGCTGACTGCCCCACACGCCTCGGAGCCCCAAGACGGTGCGGGGACGGACCTGTCGGTGACCACGAAATCCCAAGACCTCGCCACGCAGTCAGTCACCGCACGGTCTGGGGACCCTGGAGGTCCAAGTCGCGCGATATGTCCTCGGAGGACGACCCAAGAACCCCAAACCGCGCGGCCATCCCAGATCCCCACTGACCCAACCCACCACACGGTGTGGTCACCGCACCGTCTGGGAGCCCCCGACACACGTCGGAAAAGCAGTGATCGCGAACGACAGGGGGACGAGGAGAAGGAGAAGGAGGAGGAGGAGGAGGAGGACGACGGCGACGACGCACGGACACGTATCCCGCACTCGTTCATCAAGCCCCCCAGCATCGATCAAAGCGGCGCACAAGATGCGGGGGCAGGGACGGGCAGGACGAAGGAACCGACAGTCTGGGAAGGCTGGGGGGGTGGCGCGTCTTGGAACACCCTCCTGCCTCCCGAGGGGCTTTCTCGGAAGGCTTCTTTCTCACCTCCTCCTCCTCCTCCTCCTCCTCCTTCTCCACCTCCTACCCCTCCTCATCCTCCTCCTCCTCCTCCTCCTCCTCCTCCTCCTCCTCCTCCCTCCTCACTCCTCCTCCTCCTCCTCTCTCTCCTCCCCTTTCTCTCACTCACCTCCTCCTTTCGCCTCCTCCTCCTCTCCTCCTCCTCCTCCTCCTCCTCCTCCTCCTCCTCCTCCTCCTCCTCCTCCTCCTCCTCCTCCCCAAGGCAGGTCCCGATACTCAGCCGGCACCCAGGCCCCTGCCCTCTCAGAAGCACTCAAGACAGAAAGCTCGCTCGGCGCCGAACCGATCCAAAATTTTGCTGCTCCGCGAGGGCACTGCCGCAGCGTGGCGGTCCAGGAAGAGCCGCTGAGCTCGCAGGATCCCGCTACGACCGCCGCTCCGACACTGGCACTCGTGTCACCCTGGCTCCGATAGCGGGGGCCGCCCGAGTGGGGTCGACGTAGATGGTGCGGAGGATCGCGCCACATGGCCCATGCATCGGCGATCCATCGGCGACGTCGGGATGGAGAGCATCGGGCCCCGAGTCGAGCCCTTGTCGCTGATGTATTAGCGACTCGGTGCAACCCGCCGAATCCATTTACTCCGACCGCAAATTAGGGTGCCTAGAGGTACGGTTGATGGAGCAGATCCTGGACCACCCGCGCAACCAGGGCGACGGCGCAAACTTCCACGCGCCCCCCTGACCCCGATTCGATGTTGATTGGCTGCGCCCGCGGGGTGCAGGATTTAGGCCAGTCGGCAGATCGACAGCTCGCGCCAAAGCCCGCCCGACATAAAACTGGGGGCGCGAGGGGCGAAAACGAAAATCGAAAAACAAAGTGCAGGAGTTTGTCCATCAACCGTAGGGCCGCAGACTCCGGCGCAGTCTCCGACTTGGGCAGCCGACGCCGATCCAGATCTCACGACGCCCGTGCCCTGGCAGCCTCTATCTCGGCAACCGCGCGCTCCCACAGGTCGGCGTGCGAGGTCCTCACCGCCACCGGCGCCTGCAGCGCACCGACGCGCTGGTACCAGTGCGTCTTGAACCCTGGCCGGCCGATTTTAGGGGAACGAAGAATGACATAAACATAAAAACTCGAAGGTCCGCGGGGATTTCTTGGATCCGCGCTTGACCCCCCTCCCTGGCGCGCGGAGCGCGACAGGCGCGAATCCGGGAGCGCCGCCAGTGGGCCCCAGCGCCGATCTGGGAAATCCGCGCGGACCTCCGAGTTATTATGTTTATGTCACTGTTCGTTCCCCAAGATAGGATGATACACTTCACCGGACGCCAAGCCTGGGGGGACCGAAATACCACCCGATCTCCAACAATCTGCTTTTTCCACCGGCTGGCTTTCCTCGATCTTTCGGCCCCTGGGGCCCGTCACCAGACCCTGGGACCATCGAAACTAGATCCAGGACGAAGAACAATCCCTGGGGAAGCGGTCGGGACCCTTGGCATCGCGGATTGAAAAGCATGCCAGCGGATGTCTCGGCACCCGGACGCCGGAAACACTTTTTCCCAGCAGCGAGGGCAGTCGGACGTATCGCGTTCGGATAGCCGCAGGCAGCTGGAAAGAAGGGGATCTGCGTGGAGGAGGAGGAGGAGGAGGAGGAGGAGGAGGAGGAGGAGAAGGCGGAGGAGGAGGAGGAGAGGAGGAGGAGGAGGAGGGGGCGGAGGAGAAGGAGGAGGAGGAAGAGGAGGAGGAGGAGGAGAAGGCGGAGGATGATGATGGTGAGGAGGGGGAGGGGGAGGAGGAGGCGGAGGAGGAAGAGGAGGAGGAGGAGGAGGAGGAGGAGGGGGAGGCGGAGGAGGAAGAAGAGGAGGAGGAGGAGGAGGAGGAGGAGGAGGGCCGCATCTGCAGGCGGGAACTCCCGGAGGCCGCGCGCGCTGGGTGCACACACGCGGAGGCCCAAGGCGCACCTGCCCGTCCTTCTGCAGGGGCCGAGCGCTGGAGAAGACACCTGGCCGCGTGTGCGCCCAGCCCTCGCCGCGGCCAGCCGCGTCACTTACCAGCCTGGAATATATCCCTATCCCTAAGCTGGGCATCGCCTCATCGCGATGCCAATCTTAGGGACTCCCTTAGTTTTTCAGGGCGCGTCCCTAAGATTGTCATCGCCTTTTGGCGTGCCAATCTTAGGGATAGGGAAAAGTTCGAGGTTGGTGAGTCACGTGTACAGTCGGGACGTTGACCCAAGGAACCCCAGATAAGGAACGAGGCCCCTTTTCCCCATCGGTTCAAGCTCGATGCCCCCCCGAAAACCTGAGGAGCACCTGAGGCAAGCTGTGCAAGAATCAGGGAGAACTCGGAGCCCCTCCCCAAGGAAGAGGCTTCCTCCTTCAGCGCCCCGACGGCATCCAGCTTCCAGAGAGATGGGACGCCAGAGAGCCACGGAGGCACAACCTTCCGGGAGGTCCGCGCGGCTCTGCTGGGCCAGCGCTGGACACTCCCAGGCGGCGCCCTCCGACGCATCCCGTGCGTCAGGGGAGGGGGGCCCCTGGCCGCTCCGAGAACGCCGCACGGACCTCCGATCCCGGACCCCCTCGCGCTGTGAGAAAAACACGACCGGAGGCGTCTCGCTGCTTTCGGCCTCCGGGGGCCCTCACCGGGCGCCGGGACCGTCGAAAACTCTTTGGGGCCGGGCACCGGTCCCAGGGAGGGGGTCCAGACCGCTGGGGGTCGACGCTGCGGTTTGGTCATGGATCTCGCTGCCGCCCTGCCTTCCTCAGGTGAGGAGGCCCTCAGGGTCTGAAGCCTCCAGGGCACATTCCTTAACCAACTCCCCCACGGTATATATTGCCCCCCTGCGAACCACCCGCCGTGGCGCACCACATCACGTTTAGCGCGGCATCCTTCGCGCGCATCCCGAGCACGGAATACACAACACGGCTGTAGATGGCATCAAGCCAGCTGCCCGTCTTCGTGAGCTCCGTCTCGCAGACGCCCGGGTGGCACGCCACCGCGAGCAGCGAGGGCTCGCGCTTGCGCAGCTCCTCGATGAACAGGATGAGCGCCAGCTTGGACTGGCCGTACTGGGCCCAGTCACTGTAGTAGGGCACGCGGAACCGCCACGACGCGTAGTTGATCCCCTCTGGGTAGCTGTTGGCCGACGCAACCGAAGTCACAGCCACCACGCGCGAGCCTTCAGTGGCACGAAGCAGTGGTAACAGCTGGAGCGTGAGCTCGAAGTGACCAAGGAAATTGACACCGATGCACTCTTCAAAGCCATGCCCCGTTTTCGCAAACCCGTCAGAGTCCTGCATGCTTTTCGCGACACCTGCCGAAAGAATCAGCACGTCCAATCTCGAGAACTTTTCACGGAACGCCGCAGCGAAAGCTGCGATCGACTCGAGAGATGAAAGGTCGAGCGCCATGCAATGCACATCCGCACCACCTTCACGGAGCTGCCGGGCCGCGCACTCGCTTAGCGCTCCAGGGCGCCGCGTGCACATGATGACCGTCGCACCCGCCGCGATGAGCTTTGCGCACACTATGAGGCCGATGCCCCGGTTGCCACCAGTCACGACAAATACCTTGCCTTTCAGAGTCGGCACGCCCATGTGACGTAGCCTGCTGAAGCGAACGGCGGCCCATCCTCCTACGAAGCGGGACGAATATATGACGAGTGCGGCGACCGCCGCTGCGCCGCCGGCAGCAGTCAGCATTCGCCCGCGCGTGAGCGATCGAGTCGGTACCTGCTGATACCCGAGCATGATGATAACATGGGCTGCGAAAAGCGTGGGTAAGGAAGGCGGACAGAAGAGGGGCAGGAGGAGGGGAAGGTGGGACGACAACGACGACGACCGACCACGACGACGACGGCCAGGACGGCCAGGACGAGGACGAAGAGGACGAGGACGAATAACGAGGACGAGGTCAAGGACAAGGACAAGGACGAGGAGGACAAGCAGCAGCATCGCGGACAGGGCAAGAGCCAAGCCGGCGTGGAGCAGAAGCAAGAGAGCAGTGGCTGCAAGGCCAGCACCGTGGCCAGGGCCCAGACACATCACGAACGGCAGCCGGAGCAGAAACGTTAAGTCGGGCGTGTCCCCCTACAGGGGGATTCTCGACGAAAAATAAAACATGGTAAACAAATACTCGAAACTGGTCAAAAATACGATTTGAAACATAGTCCCCAGACTATTGTTTGAGTATTTTTGAATTTTCCTCCTGCAGAGGGACGGGCCCGACTTAAGAGCAGCGGGAGCAGAACAGAAAGCACGAGCGGGAGGAGCGGAGGGTCATGGTCGGGAACTGCTGCACAATGTGTCGCGGGGGCGGCCCCAGCGGCACGCGATGCCTCGCGGGACGGGGAGATAGGAACAGCTCGGGGCGTTGACGCTCGAGGGCTGGCGAGCGGAGAGCGCGTCGCGCCGAGGCGTGGTGGCAGAACGGGCGGCGCGACACGCAAAGCCAAAGTTCCTGACTGTAAACGGGCGGAGACTGGCCATCGCTCGGACGTCCATTCCCTGTGTTTTTTTTCGGTTTCGTGCGTGGTTCTTTCGCGAAATGATCAAGGATGCGCCTCGACGGTCCTCGCCGAGGAAAAAACGCACACGTCCGAGCGATGCCAAGGAGAAGGATGGAACAAGTGGGTGGCGCGCCGGGGGGGGGGAGTGAGAAGGGGCAGGCCTTTTCAAAGGCGGCGTGGCTTCTCAGAAGCCGATTTTCTGTCTTATAAGTCCCCTCGTATCTTCGCAGAAGGCAATTTTCCAGGAGCTGGAAGCCTTCTGATCCTGTCGAGCATGCCCTTCCTCTCTGCCTCCCCCTTCTGCGCGCGGCGCCGAAAAGCAAGGGAACGACGCGCGAGAAACGCTGCCCCCCGAAGGTCCAAACAAAACACCGAGCGCGAAGACCAACAAGGATCGCTGGCCCGCGCCGGACGACGCGAGGTGCCTCCAGCGAGGCAACGGCACCGCCCGCCGCCTCTGCCACCAGCGCTGACTACAACGCCCGGGAGCGCCCGGGAGCGCTTGGGAGCGCTTGGGAGCGCCAGGCGCCTCGGAACGCTTGGGAGCGCTTGGGTGCGCCTGGGGAAAGCCTGGGGAGCACCCAGGAACGCTGGCGAGCGCTTGGGTGCGCCTGGGAGCGCATGGGGGCGCGTGGGAGAGCTTAGGAGCGCTTCGGAGCGCCTGGGAGCGCCTGGGAGCGCCTGGGACCGCTAGGGAGCGCAAGGGAGCGCCTGGGAACGCCTGGGAACGCCTGTGGGAGCGCCTGGGGAGGGAGCGCCTGGGAGCGCCTGGGAGCGCCTGGGAGCGCCTGGGAAAGCTTGGGAGCGCCCGGCGTTTCGGGGGCGCCTTGAAGCGCCCGAGAACGCATGGGGGCGCCTGGGAAAACCTGGGCGCCTGGGAAGCGCCTGAGCTGAGAGCGCCCGGGAGCGCTTGGAAGCGATGGGGCTTGCTCGGGCACAAAATACCACGATCAGGCGCAACGCACTCGCGCGCTTTGCATGCCCACCTGCTCGACGCTGTCGCCAGCCTGTGAGCCGCAGTGCGAACTTGGCCATCGTCGGTAAAAGCCTCGAGTCTGCCGCCGCCCCCAACCCCTCAGCGTCGGGCAGGCCGCCATCGCCGCCCCCCTCGCCCGCCGCAGCACCTGGCCGAGGACAGACAGCAGGAGGCCGGCGAAGCTTCGGGCGGGACACAATCTTCTCGGCGACGTCGCCCGAGCGCGAACGGCTTGCCCAGGGCCCCAAGGCCCAGGTCAGGCCCGCACTTGACGCCCTCCTCCGCCGCCTTGGGGGGCTTCGGGACCACGTCACTGATCTCTCCCACCTTCTGCTCCAGCTCTGCAGCATCGGCTCGCAGCGCCACGTCTCGTTTGTGCTCCTCCTCCAGCGTCTCCTCTGCGTCGGCCACCGCCTCGGTCGCCTTCGCCGCCGTCAGCCCCAGCTTTGCGATGGCTTCCTGCTTGGACTTGAACTTCTTCTGCAGCAGGAGCAATTGCGAAACCAGCGGCTTCTTCGGCAGGGCCCCATCGACAAGCTGGCGATTCTGCTCCTCAGCGTGCTCGATACAGCCCAGAATGTAGGCTGTCGGTTTCTGGATCGACTTGAGACCTCGCAGCCGCTCCTCGAAAACCTCCAACTGCTTCTCCCGGGCCGCGTCGCCGACGTCGCACCCCCCCGTTGCCGCCGCCGCCGCAGCTGCAACAAGGGGGCCGCCTTTCGCGGTAGCAGATGCACGCGACGCCTTGACCTCCTCCCGCAGGCGAGCAGACTCACTCTGCATACCGCATGTGATTCGCAGCATTCTCTGGCCAGCCGCCCGCGCCACGCCGTCCACCGGCAGGCGCGCCGCTGGCTAGCTGGCGCCAGCGCGCCCCCCCTTCTGCTCGGCCCTGCCTCGGGAAGGACTCGGACTTGTCGTTGCCGCGGAAGTGGCGCACCTTCTTGGGCCCGAAAGCGAGACGCCGCACGCCCAGCTTCGGCGCGCGATCGCACTTGCAGCACTCGCACCGCAAGTCTGCTTTCGCCCCATCACGCGGCCCAGGCGCCATGGCTCCTGACAGGGGGGGGGGGGGGGGGCAGCAGCCGGGGCGACAGGAGAGCGTGGGCCAGGACAGCACAGAGCCCCCAACAGAGGTGCAAGATCGCTGGAACTGCCGCGGGCAAGCGACATCCACTTCGCCCCCAAGGGAACGCAACATCTCGAGCCACACTGGACACGGAAGAAGACAGCGACAACGAGGACGAAGAGGAGGAATAATAATCAGACCAGTGCAAGCCCAGGACTCCATAACGATCTTGGATTAAACCCTACTTCAGATGCCCTCTTCATAAGCCCCCACGGGGGTCCAGCTCCACTGAAGGATTTACCCCGTCGTGGGGCAACCGCGGGAAAATCCTGAGGCGCGCCGAGACATTCCCGGAAAGTCAAAGCCACAAATTATCTTGACTGATGCGTCGCGGCAATCCTCAAACGCGCCAGACCGCCGCCCCCGGGGCTTCAAGGCCGCGAACCGATGGAATCGTTGGGCCCTGACAGCCCTGAGCCGCTCCAGAAGAGCAGTTTCTAGCGCGGCGGAAGCCAGTCCACAGGAAACCTTCCAAAAGAAATCCAACCCTGAAACCCCAGGGCGCCCGCTGGTTTTTGGCGCGGGAGCGCGCAGCTGTCCACGGCAGGACCATCGGAACCCGAGAAACCCAGGGCACCCTGGAGGCAAGCACGGTGCTTCTTGGCTTTGGCCCCCACTGTGCGTTCCGAATGGGAACCAATGGAGTTCTTGCGTGCATAAAAACCGCCCTCCATCCGCGAACCTCTTGCATACGTTTCAAAAACAAACGCGCGCGGCGCTGCATCGAGAAGCGAAACGGCCCGGCATCAATCCCCGATGCTCGCGCAGCTGTCTCACACGAGCGCGCGCCGCGAACAATCGAGAGCAACAGCTTGAAGGCCACCAGTCCTCAATTCGCCAAGCTCTTGCGAATTTCCAAAGGAAGAATGCGCGCGGCGCAAAAGCGAGGGCCGCGCGTTGAAAACCATCCGCCCTCAATCCAGAAAGCGCTTGCACGCGTTAGAAAACTATAGTTCCCCGCGCAAAGTCGAGGGGCACACATCGAAGACCACCTGCCCTCAAGCCGCGAAGCTCGCGCCAATTCTGACGGCGAGCGAACGCGACAAAGGCGACGGCCACGTTTTGAAAATCACCCGCCCCCCATCGGCGAAACCGCTGCCAGCTTGTAAGTTTCAGGCCCAGAATGACAGGAACGATACAGGCAAAACGCCCGGCCCGCCCCTCCGACTGGCCCCAGGGAGGAATTGGGCATTTGGAAAATGCATGGAGGAGGAGGGGCAGGAGGAGCCCGAGGACGCCAATGCCAACGCCAGCAGCGGCGCCGGCTCAGTCATCAGCGACTCCGTCGGCACAAAACGCAGGCGCCTACAACGTCAACAACGAGGGCGCCGGCACTAACGCCAGCGCCCGCGCCAGCCTCATCGCCGACAGCGCCTAGGGGGAGAAGGAGGACGCCCACTTCGCGCCCCTGCAGATCATCGAGGAGGCGGAAGCGAATGAGGAGGAGGAGGAGGAAGAGACAAAACCAAGGGGGGGGAACGGAAAGTGGCGGAGTGGAGCGAAGCAGGAGAGAAGGCACGGGGTGCGAGGCACGTCGAGGGGGGGGGAGAGGACGGTGGAGGCGAGGTGCGCCGAGGGAAGACGAGAGGGGCGCCGGCGCCACCATGCCAGGGGCCACCTTGGCGGCGGGCTTGCATCGAGCCCCACCTTTCGCGGCCATCGCAGCGCGGGCCAGGGCGCGGCGCCGCGGGCGCGGGGCCACGCGCGCGGGCGAGCGCAAGGGCCAGGGCGCGGCGCGGCGGGCGGGGTCGCGGGCGCGAGCGGTGCCCGCGATCGTGCAAGGGGGGGGGGTCCTTCCTGTTCGTCCGTTTCCTCCTTCTCCTCCTGCTCATCCTCCTCCATTTCCTCCTCCTCCCTCATCCGTTTCCTCCTCCTCCCTCTCCTCCTCAGTCTTGATCACCCCCCTCCTCCCCCCCTTCTGCCTTATCCTTCTACGATCGGGCCCGCGGGAGATGCGCGCGCGCGGTGGATGCGCGCGCATGCACGCAGACGCGCGATGGTGATCGGGTGGAGTTGCGCATACGTAAGGGTGACGATGGTGCATGGTGATCGACGGTGCTCGCTACGACCATGGTAATAGTGGCGAATCGACGATAATGACGGTCGAACTAGTTGGGCATGGCCGCGGCGCCTGTTGACGATAGCGATGGCGGCCCTGGCCTTGGCGAGTGCGATGGCGGCGACGAATCATCGCCGAGGCGTCGGCGGGGCCACCTTGAGAGAACAAAACATCCACATTGGGATCAAAAATCCGCCTTCGGCAGATCCAATACATGTGAGGACCAATCCGT